AAAAAATTTTGCATATAGATTTCATAGGGTTTCAAAATGCAAATATAACTTTTCTTATAAATAACTTTTCTTGAAAATAAAGGGCTTGAAAATGTGACAAAAGGTGATGGATATGAAGGAAATAGAAACAGCTCTGTATTTGGAGTGTTTTTTCTGCCCGCTCTCACTGTTGTCACACACCAAGTCTGGGATCTCGGCTGGAACTGAAATCGCTGCTGCCACCTGGTGATGAACGTGAGGTACTGTGCATGTTTAACGACACGCTGGTGCCACCTGCGCACTGAGAGCGACACTGCATATTAAAAAAAAAGCCCAAATAAAAAGACGCTCAGACACTAACCCTACCGCAACCCGCGCATGCGCAGTTGCTTGCGATGAAGCAACCAATCGTGGTAAGCTCTGGCAACATGGCGGCAAAAACTCGCGCATGCGCGGTGTCGTTACTGTTGGCTAGACGTATGCAAACAGAGGCACACGTTTTTACTATAAAGTGAGTTACTGAGATTACGGGTTGTTCTTTCAGTTACTCTTTCAGCTCCACTGGCTGAGCGAGCGGGAGGAGCAGCAGTGGCACGAGGGCCGGAGCTGTTGCGTGGGTCTGGGAGCCCAGATTCTCATCCCGGTACAGCCTGTCCTGCAGCCTTTCGGGGGGATGTCCCTGCAGCAGCGCGCCGGGGAAGGGAGGAGAAATCTCCTGGCGCTGCTAGGGTGCAGGAACGGAGGAGAGCCTGAGTGGGAGGCGAGGCGCCATCCTTGGGTACGCTGCCCTTGTGCCACGGGGCGGCCGCTGGCCTCTGGGACAGGAGCGGGGGGGAAGGGATTTCAACCTTTTGGGGGGGTTGTCTAGCAGAGCCCTCTTTTTTGAGGGGTAAAGTACATATGCCAGCGGTATTATTAAAGCAACGTGCTGCTGTCCAGGGCAGTTTAACTTGTTCTGTGGAACGTGCTGGGAGCAAGTGCCAGGTAACCGCGGGGAAGTCGTGGTGAAGTCCGAGGGCTCTTGCTCTCAGGGCCTGGGGGTGGGCGGGGTCTCTCTGGGGAGCTCTAGCGGTTCATAATGGTTAATTTGTTTAGCTGTTGTCTGAAGAGTAATGTATTAAATCTGTTCAAGTTTCTATTGGTATGCTGTGAAAAATTGGTATTCTTTTGCCCATGGGACTTTGGCCAGACTTCTGAAGAGGTAAAATAAGCACTTAGATTGCTCCAGATACGTAATTTCTTCAGCTGAGGAACGAATACGTGAATTTCTTCAGTTGAGGAAGAAACTGAAGCGGGAGCAGAATGCCAGGCTGCAGCAACAGAGGGAGTGTTCGAAGGAGCGCAGCTTGGAGGTGGCAGTGCTGGAGAGGCGTGTTAGTGAGTTGCCAGAGCGCCTGGGGAAGAGAAAGGCAGCTCTGCCACAGGAAGAGAATGTACCGGTAAGTGCGGGAGATGTCCTAACAACAGCATGAATTTTGTTGCCTGGACAGTCCGAAGTAAAAACTTGTTTGTGGGGAAGGCGGGCTGTTCAGATGCTGGACCTGTTGTCTTGATCCATCTGTAGTGGAAGGATTGTAGTATTAAAGTCCTTTACATGGGACGTCAGTGTTAACCTAGGGGCCTCTGGTGGTCTAGTGGTTAGGGTGCAGGACTCTCACCGCTGCGACCCGGGTTCGATTCCCGGCCCCCCGGGCAGATGGAGCTCGTCAGCCCTGTAAGGCAATCCATCTAAGAGAAGGTCACTCTAAACAAAA